CCTGAAAAAGGCACATATCCAAGAGCTAAAATTGTTTTCTCTACTATGCCTGAGGACATGAGCTGAGCTATGAGTCCTCAGTATGGCCCCTACAAAGGAGGCAGTTCTCATCTCTCACAAGGCTCAAAGACTACCCAGGCTAGGACGGAGTGGAGCTCCCCATTGTGGAGGCTGGCCCTCAGCACCATGCCTGCCACGGAAGGTCTCTCCATGGTCTCTCCATGGCTTCCATGTGTGAGAAGCTCCGGGTCAGCACTCACAGTCCAAGGGCATCAGATCTACTACAATCAGGAGAAAGGAAATTTTGACACCAACACAGTTGATCTCTCAAAACCTTTATGCTGAGTGAAACACGCCGGTCACAAAGAACAAACACTGCATAATCAGTGTCCTTAAACACTGCATAATCAGATGGCTGTACAACAGTATGGATGTACTTAATGCCACTGAACTGCACACTTAAAAACAGTTAAGATGGTGAATTTCCTGCACACTTACCAAAGCTAAAAACATTCAAACAAAACATTTGCTCATCTTTTTGCCTTGGAGAGCAGGACTGTGAGAATCCCAAAGCATGGCCTGGCCTGCTCCACCCCAAGCTCCTGGCCCTCCCACTCTGCTTCTAGACCTGGAACTCCTCACAAGAGCTTTCTAGTGACGTCTGGTAACACCCACACCTCAGCTTGACATCAGTCCCCAGAAACTCAGTGGCAGAATTAGGTAAAATCATGAGGAACATTTTACAGGCAGAGAAACAAAGGCAGAGGACAGAGGCAGCAGTCCAGGTTTCTAGACTGTTGCTTCGTCCACTCCTGAAAAACCAGGGGCCAGCCAAATCTCTCAGGCTCCTACTTGTCTGTGCGGCTGCCCAGAGCCCATCTCACCTCAGCCTGCATATGAGAAATTTCCTTTTTCGGGAAATTTGCCTCTCCTCCACACCCACTAGTTACAGGGTATGTGGGTGTATCGAGAAATAAATTTCCCAAAAAAGGAAAAGAGATTCCCCAAAGTTAGTCCCATCTCAGGGCTGCCTGGAGAGGCAACGGTCAGTCTCCAGAACTGGATGAGGTCCACCAGCCCCAGCCCCAGCCCCAGCAGAAGTCCGCAAGCAGGAAGGGCTTCCTGGAGCTACTTTCCCCAGATCCAGGGACTGCTGCCTTCCTCCCCATCCTGCACGCTGTGACCTCCTGATGCCCATCTTCCTCTCCAGGTCCCAACCCAGGGGGCTAAGGTAACCTTTCCCCCATCCTGGTTCTCAGGAGCTCTTGGGAAGTTTCTCCCTTCTGCTGAGTAATCCCTAAAGGTCACCACATCCCTCAGCTCCCTCTGAGGAACACCCCTTGTCCTACCTTCTCTCCTTTCCTACCTGCCCTCTGTCTTAAGGTTTTCAAGCGGGGAGCAGAAATTCTGCAGCAAGGCGCTGACAAAGCTGGTAGCTTAACTCCACAAATATTTACTGAACATCTGCTAGATTTGTGCCGCCCAAACCCCATGCTAGCAACATGGAGAGAGACACTTAGAATTATCAGGGGCCCAACAACAACAACAACAACAACAACATCAGTCTAGTTGGCAAGATAACACTCAAGCAAATGAAATCAAATGGTAACATTGTATAAAAATCAGTAACAACGGGCCGAGCACAGTGGCTCACGCCTGTAATCCAAGCACTTTGGGAGGCCGAGGCGGGTAGATCACGAGGTCAAGAGATCAAGACCATCCTGGTCAACATGGTGAAACCTTGTCTCTACTAAAAATACAAAAAATCAGCTGGGCATGGTGGCGCATGCCTGTAATCCCAGCTACTCAGGAGGCTGAGGCAGGAGAATTGCCTGAACCCAGGAGGCAGAGGTTGCGGTGAGCCGAGATCGTGCCATTGCACTCCAGCCTAGGTAACAAGAGCGAAACTCCGTCTCAAAAAAAAAAAAAAAAAAAAAGTCAGTAACAACTCGAAACAGATAGTGACTAGTGTTGAGGGCACAGACCAGCCATAAAATGCTACAGTTTATTATGTGGGCCTGGGAGGGTCAGAGGTGGCCACAAGCTGCTCAGAGCTGCTGCTTTTGAAGACAAATGCTGAGGCAGGGCTCAGTTTACAACATCACGGTCTGAGGGTACCATGCAGGGAGTGGCACCTATGTGCTCCCTGGGACACACAAGCAGTTCTGCAGGCCTTGTGGTTGCCTGGTATGCATGGGCGCCCCATAGAACTCTCCAGATGAGGAACAGGCCCACCCCATCCCATGACTGGCACTGTACCATCAGCAAGCCAACTCTGCACCATCACCCCCTCACTCCCAGGAAATCTGACACGTGAGTCCTGTGCTGTTTAAGAGCAGAGCTAATAGCAAATCGCATTTACATTTTCATTTTAAAAAATAAGAATTTAAATAAACCACTGACCAAATCCCTCAGTTTCTCGGCCTTAGCACTGTCAACATTTTGGGCTGGAGCCTTCTTTGTTCTGGGAGCTGTTCTGTGGAGGACCTTCAGCATCCCTGCCCCAGGTGTGACAATCAAGGATGACTCCAGACATGGCCAGTGGTGGACAGTGGCCCTGGGCAGCACAGTGCTGAGGACCACTGGTCTATTTCAAGGCACTCACAGAGGAAGCCTCTAGCTTGGCTGGAGTTCACCCATATATGAGCCTGCCTGAAATGGAGTTCTCCTGCTCCAGGTCTTAGGATCCTGCCAGCCTGGTTGGGATGGGACTCTCAGCTCAGGGTGGCTGACCATTAGGCTGGAGTTCCCTGGCCACGGGCTGTCTGCTCACGCTGGGGGGAGGCTCTGAAGAACAAATCCTGATGCAGAGCACTGGGTGCTGGAGAAACCAGCCTCTGCCTCCTCCCACCTGGCTTCTACCCCGACTGCTTCCTTGCAACCTTCCTCTGCGACCTTCCTGATACAATAGGGCAACCCCTCCAAGGCCTCGCCTGGGCAGAGCCATACTGATGGGCTCACTGGGTCAGTCTCTCCAGCTCCCAGGTCATCTGCCAGAAAGCAGCCCATGGTCAGAAACGCCCAGCTCTGGGCATGCCCCCATGCCCTCTCTCAGTCCAAGTTTTCCCTGGGGCTTCTTTCTTTCCCCACATCCCTAGCACCATCCTACCTCTGCCTAAGCACACCATGAAATAATACCCAACCCATATCCAGGTTGCTGGGAGACCACGGTACACTGTGAAGTGTTAGTGCTCCTGGCTAGGTGGCCTCTAGTATCCAGGAGCTGCACCTGGGAAGCAGCATGTGCTCTGCACTTGTGCCAACACCAAGGTGTCCCCAGGAGCTACCTTCTTTGTGCTTGTGCAACTGAGCCAGAGGGAATAATGGATTTTGCTGGACTTCAGTTAGACCTAAAGAAAGATTTCTTGACTGGAATTATCAGTCCCCAAGGAAAGTACAGGGAGCTCTGTTTTTTGGGATGGTTCATGACCCAACCCAGCCTGAATGCAATTCAGCGATCTGTGAAGGCTCCTTTGATACTGTTGGTCGACTGCAGGACTTAAGAACCAGTCAGCCAGCTACAGAGAAGCAAGGTAAACCTCACAGCTGCAGGAGCCCAGCTCTGACCCCAGGACTACTCCCTGTGTAAGGGCTAAGCCAGGAGAACACCAGTGTGAAGTCTATCCTCCAGGTCAGCTTTCTTGCCCCAAAGGAAGAGAGTGTCCAAATGCACTGCCTCCCTGCTCCTACTTCTAGCCAAGTCCACCATCAGTGCTTACCTCCAATCCACTACCCTGGAGCATAGATGGTCCCACAGCAAAAACCCTCTGTGGTCTAATCATGATGTGCAAATATGCTCACCAGAAAGAATGAAAAAGAAGACAATTCTTTTTAAGAATAAATCAATGAGGTGACAGCTGATACAGGATTATGGTATCATACCTCTTAATTCACCCCAGAAACAAAAGTAGAAAAAGTATCACATCACAAAGGTTAGGACTCAGGTGCAAACACACCCACTTCTGGCCTTTGCACATGTGAGCTGTAATGACCACCCAAAAATCCCAGCACCTCCCCCCCCCACTCCGGTCTGGAAGGTCCCTGGAGGGCACAGTTATCGCCACTCATACTTTCAGAGTCTGTCTCACCCTTGCAGCAAAGAAACAAACTCTGGGTAGGACAGGCAGGGGTTGCCTGTTTTATATAGTGTGACTAGACTTTCCAGGACAGCCCCAATTTTAAGACGCTGCAGAAATGTGCACACAAACACTCACCCACCAAGTGGAACTGGAAAAGGCAATCAAATCTCCCATCTTCAACCCTTTACAGTTTGGAATACAGTCCTACTTTAATTAGTAGAGACCAATCTCCTTTAGAGAAAAAGTCAGGAGATAAAATAGGTGGAAAAAGAAAAGCCAGAAATTCCACCTAGTTGACTTTCAGGTTTGGCCTCTGGGGCAACAGCAGCAAATGCTCATCCAGCCCAGAAGGCAGCTGGAAAACCAGGGAGGTGGGGAGCAGGAAGGAGCCTGTCTGCCTGGTTTAGTGACCAGTTGACCTCATGACCAGGAGGCCAGACTCTGAAGTCCGCTCAGAAAACTATGTGAAGCTCAAATAAGACAAACAAAACCAATTATAGCTGTAGAACTCACAGGCAGCCCCAGGACTAGGTAGGTGAGCACGCTTGCAGCCCCAGGGCCAGTCCCTGCCCCACGCCTATAGGTCCATAGCCTGCACCCGTCCTCACTGTGACCCAGGACTTTGCCCTTGCTTTCTCCTAACCAGGAGTGCTCCAGCCAAGTCCACACTATCAGCCTTGAACAGAAATGACTTCCCCCCTCACTTCTTCCTCTCACTCAAGACCACAGAAGATGATGCTTCAAAGGTCTGGGATTTTAGGACGGTCTTCGCAAGGTGCCACAAGTTCTTCAATCATTCCAGACTTCCAAACAAAAGTGGGAGCACACAGCTGCTGTGCTCTTACACAACAATGCAAGGACACAGTAATGGAGGGAACCGGCGAAGGCTGGGGACAGGGAGTGGGCGAGGATGACACTTACCATCTCATCTAGGGCATAGCGCAAGAGGCCGTGCTCGTAAAGGATGAAGAACCGTCGCTGCCATTTCTGCAATGGAGCACAAGGTGGGTGGTTAGGAGGATTTGGGTCCTGGCCCCGGAGCTTGGCTTGTGGAGGTCCCATGTCTAACAAGCCCGTATCTAAGGAAGGCGGTTCCACAGATTCCACTTTTGGGGCAGGTGGCAGAAAAAGAGGGACCTGACGCCTAAGAATGCTGATTCATCAGCCAGGACTGGGCTGGGAGAAAGGCCCAAAATCACGTGAGTGATCGAGGCTTAACAAGAAGCTTCTTTTTTTTTAAAACACTTGGAAGCTCCTCAGGAGCAGAAACAATCTGTGTTTACCTTTTCATATTCCTTCTGGCGCCCAGCACAGACTGCATCACATGATATGTGTCAATATTTATTTGATGAATGATCTGACATAACATGGAATAACTCAGGAATGCCAAGGAACAGATTCACCACTTCTGAAAAAATCTAGGAAACCGCCACAAAGAGTCATTCTGATGATCCACTGGCAAAGAGGAGGCACAAAGACAGCCAGGCTCCAGAATTAACTGAGGGGAAATGAGCTACTGAAGCTCAAAACAGAGGAGCAGCAAGACCAGTGGAAATAACTCCAATATCCAAGGAGTGACCAACTGGCACAAAGTGTCCCCCACTCTACTCTCCATCCAAAAGCCATACCACTGGGAAGTGCCCATGGTGGTCAGATGCCACCAGGAGCCGAAATGAAAAGGACTATGAAGTGTATGTCTTCCTCTGTGTGGGGAAAAGGGCCTTGTCATGAATGACAGGCACAGCTCCCAGCCCCAAATCATCAAGGGTCCATGACTATATTCAATACTTCAAAAAGCTCAATCCAGCCTGGGCAGCGTGGTGAAACCCCATCTCTACAAAAAACACAAAAATTAGTTCGGCGTGGTGACACACGCCTGTAGTCCCAGCTACTCAGGAGGCTGAGGTGGGAGGATCACTTGAACCTGGGACGTCAAGACTGAACTGAACTAAGATCACACCACTGCACTACGGCTTTGGTGACAGAGCAAGACTCTTTCTCAAAAAAAAAAAAAAAAAGAAAGAAAAGAGCCCAGCAATGCTCAAAGTTTAACTGGCAATAAGGCCACATGAACTGACTATAAAAGCACATCTCTATGCTTTGGGCCAGGGTTATCATTTATAATAAAGAATCCCATCAGAAGCTGGAAATGGCAATTTTGTACAACCTCAATATAAACTAGGAAAGGGAACTACTCCCTGGACACTGCAGTCCGGCTGGACCAGTGATTCCTGCGTCCTCCCGTCTGGGTAGCATGAACAGGGACTCAAAGGGCCTTGCTAAGAGGCCTTATAGAGGGCTGCTCCATGCTGGGTGTGTAGAGGCGACCTGAACGTGTTTCCCAGGAGCATTTCCAAGGGCCTTATATACCGCCTTTGAAATCAAAACCCATTCCGGAAGGAATCCCAAAGACCAGAGACATAATGCAAGGCCTGTGTGACCAGAATACACAACAGCCCAAGGCCCCTACTCCAAATGTATATTCACAGTGGGGAGGGGGTGAGTAGCAGATACTAAGAAGAAGGGGAAAGGGAGCTCCCAGGGATGGAGGGGTCTGAGTGGAAGCAATTATTATTATTATTTTTTAAGATGGGGTTTCACCATGATGGTCAGGCTGGTCTACCTCGGCCTCCCAAAGTGCTAGGATTACAGGCGTGAGCCACCGTGCCCCGTCCGTGGAAGCAATTTATAGGGTATGAGTGGCAAAACTGTAAGACAGTGTGTGAGGAAGGACAGTGTTTTAACTGGAGTCAAATCCAGAGGGGCTTCTTGGCAGAGAAATCACAGGTCCGGCCAATGGTGGTCCCAGCTCTAGCAGGGCCCTGCCCTGGGCAATGCATAATTTAGTAAGAGGTGAGCCAAGGCTTCTGGGCCCCCAACCCTTCACTAGTGCTAGTGGGCTGAATCCCTGGCTCAGGAGGAAGGGAGGTGTGATAGGGGCAGGCCTTGGCACGGAAGGAATTGGGAGCTGCTCAACATAACACAAACGTTTGTTAAACAGCTCTTTTGCCTCTTCCATTTGACTGTTCCCAGAGTCAGGCTTACCCACAAAACAGGCAACACCCACATGAGAGCTCCTCACTCCGAAAGGAGCACTACACATAACTATGCATAATTGAGACCTTTTCTGTACAACGTACAAGTGCGCCAAATGGGGGAGCCCTGCTGATCCTGCCACCCCAGGATCCACTGTTCAACTCTCCATCTCCCTCTCCCATTACACCAGTTCACCCTTAGATGGGCCCCCTTCTTTGATTCCTCCCGCCCTGAGAGTTGGCTCTCATGCCCTTACCCGAGACCGGTGCACTGGGTTGTCAAAGTCGGTCCCATCTGGGGCCAGGAGCAGCCAACCGCCATAAATGGGTTTTGCCTAGAGGAGAAAAAAGAGGACAGGTCACCAGCAGCCTTCGACACGAGAGAGAGAACAGCTAAAGTTAATGGCAAGTACTTGCTGGAAATGGACGATACCTCTGCTCAGCAGAGGTCATGCCACCCATTCCCGCTGCATGAGAATGAGAGGCTGGTGGGGATTCTGCAGCATCCAGGATAGAGAGGGGAACACAGACTTGAGCAGGAGTGTGAGAACCTGTAGAGTACAGGAGTCCCTAATACATGCTGCCTCCCTCAAGCTGCTGATCAAGCCACCAAGATCAGGAAAAAATGATATTTTATTAAACAAATATGTGAGTGACAATGTGTGGCAGGTGCCAGGAATAAAATATGAACATAGTCAAAAAGCCTTATCCTCTCACACCTGTAATTCCAACACTTTGGGAGGCCAAGGCAGGTAGATTACAAGGTCAGGAGTTCAAGACCAGCCTGGCCAAGATGGTGAAACCCTGTCTCTACTCAAAATACAAAAATGAGCTGGGCGTGGTGGTGGGTGCATGTAATCCCAACTACTTGAGAGGCTGAGGCAGGAGAGTCACTTAAACCTGGGAGGTGGAGGTTGCAGTGAGCCGAGATTGCACCACTATACTCCAGCCTAGGTGACAGAGTGAGACTCTGCCTCAAAAAAAGAAAGAAAGAAACCTCAACCTCATCCTGAAGATACAAAATAGGGCCAAGAGAAGAGACTGCTTTTGTTATCAAGCCAGCTCTGGCCAAAGAATCATCAACTGACTGGCTGTGTGGCTACATGCAGAAACCCTCTGAGTTCAAACTCTTCCATTTGAAAAGTGAGAGTGATAACAATTCTACCTAAGCCTTGTGACTCTGATGTGAGAACTAATGAGATAATGCAATTAGTAAAACCCAGCACAGGGATGTAAAATGGTGCTGCCGCCTTGGAAGAGTCCAGCAGTTCCTCAGAAAATTAAAAGCAGAATTACCCTAGGACCCAGCAATTTCATCCCCATGTATACACACCTCAGAAAACGGAAAACGGGCTCAAATAAAAACCTGCACATGAATGTTCATAGCAGTATTATTCACACTTGCCAAAAGGTGGTAACAGTCTAAACGTTCATGGACAGAAGAATGGATGAACAAAGTATGATGGATCCCAACAAGGGAACACTATTCAGCCAGAAAAAGGAATGAAGCATCACACACACTACAGCACAGAGGAACATCTAAAACATGACGCTAAGTCAAAGAAACCAGACACAAAAGCCCACATGTTACAGAACTCTGCTTACACGAACGGTCTAGAATTGGCACATCCACAGCACAGAAAGCAGATTAGTGGCTGCCAGGGACTGGAGGAAAGGGAATAAGGAGAGACAGGTAACGGGTATGAGGTTTCTTTTGTGGGTGACGAAAATGTTCTGGAATTAGACAGTGGAGATGGTTGCACAACACTGTGAATATGCTAAAACTCACCCAACTGTACCCTTTAAGAGGGTGAATCTTAAGATAGGTGAATTATATCTCAATTTAAAAAGCTGCATGAACACAAAGAACACTGAGCAGTGTCCGGCCTGTGAGGTCTCAACAAATGTGAGGCACTGTTCCACTTCACCATCCAGAGTCCCCACTCCCTAGACCATGGGTAGGAGCTCACCACGGAGAGTAGAGCGGGAGATTCTAGACAGACACTCTGGCTCCATCTCCTTCCTCAGCCACACCCAGCTGCTGAGACTGGGCTGGAAAAGGTACAACCAGACCCATTTATCTAGTCCCCTTTGGAGGCCATTAATACAAATTAAAACCCAAATTCTCTGACTGCTGCTTACACACACAGCCTGATCCCTGGATCCCCTCAGGGGATCCCCATGTGCTTTTTATTCAGTGCTCTCCAAAGTAGGAGGCCCCACCACACTACCTCATTTGGCAGCTGCAGGCTGTGACTCAGAGAAGGCAGATCACGTACCAGAGTCCACACAGCCTTCAGGCTGAACCAAGAACCCTCTTTTCTTGGCTTCCGCCTGCAGGGGTCCTCAAGGTCCCCAGAAGCACTGGCTTTCCCCATGAACGACATGAGTGGAGCTGTGTGCCTGGAATTGGGGGAAAGCTGTAAGGACAGGAGAGTAGGTGCTGGCTGCAGACACAGTCTAGGAGGGCCAATGGGTGTATGGTGGAAATCCCACCTGGGAAGGCAGAGGCAAAAGCAAGGAGAGGTCTGTGCTCTCTATGAACTCCAGCTGTGTCCAGCCAACCTCAGGTAGGCACACACACTTGGCTTCTCCACCCCCCATTCCAGGAGTACACACCCTAAGAACACCCTACCAGAAGCCTTGCATACGGCATGGGAAAGCCGTATGGACAACTCCCCGTGTGTATCTGGACTCTGACTCCCAGCTCGGCCTCTTGTCGACCACAAAAGCCCACCTGTGAGGTCGGAGGCTAGCCCACCAGGCCATTCCTCCAACTCTGGCTTAACTGTGCAACACCACCTTGGCTTCTGAAGGCAACTTGGGGTGTCATCACATCATCAGCTACATTTACCTGACCTTTCTCCAGGAGGGACTGTGGGGAGCTGAGGGCTCAGCATCTGTTCCCTCAGAACCTGAGCCTCGGTCTCAACTCAGGCATCCTCAGCAAAACCTCTGCTCAGAATTTTTTCTAAAAAATCACTTATCAAGGAAAAGCCCTAAAGAAGGTAAGGACCCCACACACGGGGGAGGCCTGGGGTTGAGAGGGCTCTCTGGGCAGGGGTACAGCTGACACACAGGTGCAAAGGCAGGAATGACGGTGCCACGGGGCCACAAGGAGCAATCTGTAATTATTGAGAACTTATTCCCCAAGCCCCGGGAGCCAGGAACCAGGACCTGGCCGGCTACGGCACCGCCACTCTTCCCTCTCACAGCTAGCCGTACGGCCTGTGCAGCTGCCTCCAGCCTCCTCGGTTCCCCAAAACCTGGCCCTCTCTGCCATCTCTCAGGGCTTCCCTAAAATGCCCCTTCCTCAAGGGACAGTCCTGATCTTCCCCCGTCAGTCTCTAACTACTCACTTCTGCCATTACTGTCACTGTACATCACAGAACTAATTTCTACCTATGGTTTCATTATGCAATTACATTGCTATGACATGACGCCCCCCGCCCCACCCCAGAACCTTCACTCCAGGAAGGCAGGGATGGGGGTTGGCCCTGTGTCCTTGATCCTGAGGCAGGTGTGCAGAGGGAGTGAAGGTGAGTACCCCGCCGGCCTAGGCCAGCAGTGGGTGCGTGGTGCACGCTCTGAGCTTCCTTCTCCTTACATAACCTAGGTCCTGACTCAGACAACCTGTCCTCACCCCCCAGGTGTGGGAAAGGCCTCCCAGGAAGAGCTGCCCCTTCTCTATGTCTCAGACTATCTAAAAATGCTGCATCCTCCCCCGCACAGCAGACCACAGTGTCTGTGAGTCCAGAAGTGCCCACAGGCAGAGGCTCCCATATATACCCACCTGCTCCTGGAGCAATGCCTCTGAAAGGCCCTAAGGTATTCTCTTCCAGAGTGACCTATAATAATCTGAAACTGGGACACTAAAACAGAAAGCCCAAAAGACAGCAGGGAGTGTGCTTTGGAAACGCTGCATGGGTAGGCTTAGCTTTGCTGTTTTTTGGTTGAGCTGCTGGACTGGGAGAAGCAGGTATCTCATGTTGGCACAGGGAATCCAAGCTGGGCTGTAACGACACAGAAGTAGGGGCCTGAGTCCTGTTTCAAGCAGCCCTGCACACGGGGCACCCTTCCTATGCAGGTCCTCCCAGAGGATGCATGTGGCTCCGGACCCGGTATAAATGTGACCACATGAGAGACTCCCCGGAGCTACCTCCTCTCCAATTGAACTTGGCCTTCCCTTGTGATCCATACAAGCCAGAGGCTGCACTTCTGGTTGGCCTCTAGGAAGAGGCTGCTGGTGGTCTGGGGGTACCTTCAACCTGAAACTCTTTCAAAAACAGTGCTGTGAAACTTCTGCTTCCTGGACGATGGGGTAGATATAGATTTCCCTATTCCTCCTGCTAAGTACAACTAAAAATTTGGGACCATCATGTGCAAGACAAACATGAGAAGACTCTGAAAGGTGGAGAAAAGAAGGTAGGTGGACCAGGGACCCCAGACCTGAGGAAGGACACCATGGCAACTCTCCCAAGCTTTTTTTTTTTTTTCAATCTCACTATCCCAGAGTGGGTACTGGAGAAACTGGTAACCTGAAAATGCCAATGGGCACCCAACGAGAAAAAAAATCAATCAAAAGCTCCTCTCCACAGCTGACGAACCAGAAAAGAGTAGACAAACAAGACAGAAAACTCTCATACAAGAACTGCCCTACTCTGGCCAAAAGCCACAGGCACCCCAACCTTCCCCTCGCCCCACTACCAAGTGAGCATAAGCTGGATTTCCATCCTTATGAAGTGCCCCACACCCCAGCCAGGGTGGTGTCAGAAGACACAAGGGCTGTACATCCCACCAGCAGCAATGAGGACCCTTCCCTCTCTGTGCTAGAGTGTGTCAGAGGGCGCTGAGTGGAGGGTCAGGGTTTTTACCATGGCCCAGTGGGAAGGGAACCCATGACGAAGGGCCTCTCCAGTTCAGGCATCAATGGAGGCCGAGGGGTGGACTTCTGTCTCCCCCTGAATAACTAGGTGGTCATGGTCACCCCCTTCCCCCATAGAAACATTGTCAGAAAAGTCAACTGGAGGGAAGGTTCAAATGAGACCTAGAGTCACCCAATAGAATACAAAAACACCTGGGTTTCCACCAAAAATCATCATAACAACAACCAAGAAGGTCACAAACTGAATGAACAAAGACAACCAAGAAATGCCAACACCAAGAAACAACCATGCTAGAATTATCCCATTTAATTTAAAATACAATAACTGAAATAAAAGCTCCTGGGTGGGCTCAAGAGCAGAAGGATGGGGGCCAAGGAAAGAACCAGTGAACTGGAAGACAGAACAACAGAAATCATCCCATCTGACAACAGAGAAAAAAACAGACAGGC